CCCCCTCCCTTTTAAAAAGCCATCTATATATGCCTTACTATAAGCGCCTACCATAGTTTTGTCTGCATACCAAATTTCAAATTCGTGGGACTTATGGTTCCAAAGTTATAGCTGATAAAAAATTCCACCTCTATTGGATGTGCCACGCGCCCTTTTACAAACTCATTTATATATACCCTCCTGTGAGCACCTACCATTGATATGTCTGCATACCAAATTTCAAGTCCGTGGAGCTTATGGTTGGATTGGATGTGCCACGCTCTCTTTTCCACACTCAAGTATATATACCCTATTATAATTACTGACCATTAAAAGGGCTGCATGCCAAATTTCAAATTCATGCGACTTATAGTTCCGGAGTTATAGCTGATAAAACATTCCAGGTCCATGGGATGGGCCACGCCCCCTTTTACAAACTCATTTATATATACCCTACTACAAGCTTCTACCATATATATGCACGCCTATGGGGGATGCCACACCGNTGGGCCACGCCCCCTTTTACAAACTCATTTATATATACCCTACTACAAGCTTCTACCATATATATGACCGCATACCTAATTTCAAGCTCATGTGGCTTATGGTCCCGAAGTTATGGCTAGTTAAAAATTGCACGCCTATGGGGGATGCCACACCCCCTTTTCGAAACCCAATTTGTTCACCCTATTATGGGACCAGGTGTCATGGCAATACTCTGCCAAAATTTCGTTCGATTCTGTCCTTCGGTTTAGGCTGTAACATGGCACATTCATACATACATACTTCCACAAATATATAGTAGATTTGTCTAAATCTATCTCGATTCGTTTTGCCTGTTACAAACAACCGTTATGTGAACAAAGTTATAATACCCTTGTGCACAAGTGCGCTCGAGTATAAAAATCTGTTCAAAATGTTAAAAATTTTTATCAGCATTTGTTAAAATTCAAAGTCTTGAAATTTTGACTTACATAGTTTTTTTAGATAGTAAGAAAAGTAGCCAAAACTTGTCAAAATGTATCTTCCCTATTGAGATTCTCGCCACCGTATATATTTTGCTATCNTCTCGATTCGTTTTGCCTGTTACAAACAACCGTTATGTGAACAAAGTTATAATACCCTTGTGAACAAGTGCGCTCGGGTATAAAAATCTGTTCAAAATGTTTAAAATTTTTATCAGCATATGTTAAAATTCAAAGTCTTGAAATTTTGACTAACATAGTTTTTTTAGATAGTAAGAAAAGTAGCCAAAACTTGTCAAAATGTATCTTCCCTATTGAGATTCTCGCCACCGTATATATTTTGCTATAATTTTTCAAGATTTTTTCTCTTTGTTTTGTTTTAAATAAAACTGTATTAAAAGATGTTATGTCTTTTTATTTTAAAAACAAAACTGTGTGTTCGCCGTAAACATAGCGCTCAGCAAAAATAACTAACCACATATCGAAGAAAATAGTAGCTGGGTAGTCTACTCGTTAATGTATCATTGGTGCCAAGGCGCGAATGTGCTTACTGTTTGAGGAGATACTTCGTATTGTCCTCGTTTACCACCAGACCCATTCGATTTGATTCCTTATCGAACTTGGAAAAGGCAGAACAGGCTTCGCGGTTTTTGTTACCTATAATGGCGATGTCATCGGCATAAGAAAGCAATTGCACGCTCTTGTTGTAAATTATTCCTGAGCGGCTCAGTTCTGCAGTTCGCGAGATCACCTCTTACAAAAAGAAGGAGCTTTTTTTATATAATTGGTGTAGGTAACACAGGGCAACACCGATTTTGATGCGGCAAATGTAAACGATGTTTTTTATAGACATGTTTGTGCTGATTACGAATCCGTTAGTATAAAGTTTCTATCAGCTCCAAATTTTGAGAAAAACGTAGTGAAAGTGTCAAAAAATCGCATTTTTTGCACTATTTAAGAACCCCTTGCAAGGAAACAAAAGGTAATAGAACCTTCCACTTAGGCTTAAATTAAAGCTCGGGGCACAGACTACTCTCTGAGAATACTATTCCTGCACCTTGCCCTGATGGTCACCTATATTCATTTACGTTTTATCGTCCAAAAAAAATAAAATAAAAATACTGGAAAATTATGAAGTTGAAAAAAAAGTGTAAAAAGCAGTGTTAGCTGGTCAATAAATGACTATAGGTGCCCTTAGGGTCAAGGTGCCGGAATGGTATTTTAGGGGATTGAAGTCAGAAGTCCAAGCCTTAATTTAAGCCTAAGTTGAAGGTTTTACCATCTTTTGCTTAATTGCCTAAGGTACTCAAACTTACCAAATCAGTTTCTCCTGTTCATCAAATGACTATAAGTGACCATCAAGCAAAGGTACAGGAATTTGCAGGGATACTAGTCGATATTTTTAGTTTTAATCTAAGCCTAAGTGGAAGGTTCAACCACCCTTTGTTTCTTTGCTAGTGCTTTTCAAATATTGCAAAAATCGCGATTTTTTGACACTTTGACCTCGCTTTTCTTAAAATCTGGATGATGGAAACTTTATGCTTACGGATTCGTAATCAGCACAAAAAAATCTTTCAAAAATAGCGTAAACATTTGCTGCATCACTTTTTTTCCATTTTTGTTGGCCTGTGTAATAAGTATTGTTAAATAGCGAATACCCGCATGTTTGCGGTGCCTTCAAAAACCTTTCGAACTGTAAAACAATGACTCAATTCTATTCTATGCATATCTATCTAATACAGGTATCAAATTTCAAGCAAGTCGCACCATGAATAAGATTTTTTCCAATATGTAGATCGATATCTGGTCCACCCATCAGAAAAAATGTCCTATATGTTAATTCTGGCGAATAGATCGGTCCCTGGTCCACTTAACGGAAAAACTTTATCCTATATGCTAATCAGTGTTGCCAGAACTTTTTGGACGAACCGGCTAAATTGGCAAATAAAACCGGGTAAAAACTGCTAAAATGTTTCATNCTGGCGAATAGATCGGTCCCTGGTCCACTTAACGGAAAAACTTTATCCTATATGCTAATCAGTGTTGCCAGAACTTTTTGGACGAACCGGCTAAATTGGCAAATAAAACCGGGTAAAAACTGCTAAAATGTTTCATCTAAATTTCACACGTTTTATTTAAATAAATCACGAGTAAAAACATTATTTCTTGGAGAGAAGTTACAAATTCGAGCCGGAAAAAATTTGCCAGC